ATGATTCGTTGAGCTGACTGCGCATAGCAACCAATGTTCACCTGCTTCTTGTGTAAATTGCCATCATTTAAGAATATGAAAAGACGTCTATAATAGACCGTGGATATATATGCGAGTCCATAAAAATCTGAATAATTCAACCATACACATGGAATGCCGTATCCCAACGTCCCCAAGCTAGGCGCTCGTGCTGTTTGAAACATATCGGAATAACTATCCAACCTTGAGTTACTTGGCTACCTAGGAAATGAAATTGTACTCACCTTATCAATACCGCCCTCGCTGGTCATCATTCCCTCGTTAGAATGACCAATGTTCGGGGCCCAATCGATGGTGGTAAGACTGGGGATGCCATCCATATCTTTTAACATCTGGACAAAGTTCTTTCCTCTGGTGATATGGTCCGCCCCTTGAGCCTTAGAGACACCAAATAGTCGGTCAAATATTCTAGGATGTGAAACGGGGAACACTCACGGATGCCTGACATCTGTCGTCTCCGTTGGCGTAATCGGTCTGCGATGAGAGGTGGGTAACCAGGCGGAGAAAAAGATCTTTATCACTTACCAGTCCCCAATCGTAATTCATATTGCGCCCGTTGTATTTCTCCACAATTCCAGACCTTCCCAATGTACGTGCACTCTCAGTAGCGTACGCGGGGAAACCGGACGCCAGCCCGTACTTGTAGTCGTCTATACCGTCGCAGTCGTCGACCGAGACCGGACGGTCTGACGTTAGCCATAATAGAGATCCGGGATTCGCTAGACGTATTGAAAAGTGAGGTACTATCACCGCACATGATATCAAGAGAACTTACCGACCCAGAAATGCAACCGATCATCGTTTTCAGTGGAGAGTCTCAGGGCAGCATAGCGCTGGGCCATCTGCGCACCGGCTGAATGTCCTCCAACAACGACAACCTATATCAACGGGTAAGAAAGGTGCCTTTGAAATGGGGGGAGATCGCTACCTTTAGATTTGGATAGATAGTCTTGTCCATATAATAGGCAACGAGCGAGTCGAGTACATCGAAGCTGCTATAATCGGTTATATTGGCGGGGGCGACATTCGCATGCCCACTCATCCACGTCGTCTGTCCCCAAAGGAGCTGGCCGTCTCTGGCCGCGCCCGCGGTTAGGTCATCTTCATCGAAGAAGCATGGTCCCATGATGGATATATGTTCGCGAACGATACTAGGGTCATCATAGGTGGCATTGTAAAGTGCATTATTCATCGCATTCCAATCTAGGGGTTTATCATCAATGCCACATGCTGATGTAGCAAGCAATGAACGGTGCGCACAATACCAGCAGTCGCGGGGCTTTTGACAGCGTTAATGGTTGAGTAAATACGGAGACCGAATTATAATCTTGCCCACCTTTCCGTGAAGAACAATAACTGCTCTTGTGACTTCTGCCGCATTCAAACCCGAAGATTGGTAGACGGGCTACTCAGAGAATGAGCCGCTCGTCGATTGAAAGAGAAAACATGCGCACCATGTAGGCACCGAGGTCTGCATCAACGACCCATTTGGTATGACTATCAGCATCGACGACTTTCGGGAACCTCTGCCAGCCGTCATCTTGGTTACCACCAACGGTAGGATTTGTATTGCTCTGCTGAGCAAGCGTAGTATAAACGAGCGAAGGGAGTATAAGGAGGGACGAGAGTAACATGGGCGTACTGGAATGAGATCTTTCGTTAGTCGTCAGCGAATACTCGAATTTAAGGCATTCTCACCCGAGCCGCGCAGTGGCCCACAAGTAAAAATAACAACTCGGTTCATGCATTTCATTGTCCACGGCGCGAAATATTTGACCGAAGGAGAAACCCTCGTGTTTCGAGACGAACCCTGAGCTGGATACCGGGTGAGGTCATCGAAATATGAAAATGTGACCATCAGACGACTGGAGCGCCCACACTGCATGAACTGTAGAAAGCATGATAAACTATAAAAATAAACACCTTCCGTAATAAAACCGTTCTTCCTGTTCCCACACGTTCGCGTTATGTGTGGGTTACGCGCTTTTGAACTGTGATAGAAGGTATTTTCTCGTATAGGGGAGCGAGCATCGTGTCACTGTTTTCAATTATGAGAATTGAATTCCGGTGACGGTTTGACACCAGCCGAGAGGAAAACCCGTTTCTAGGAAGAGCCCGTTAACGGAGGGAGCGGAAATGGAGTTAAGAAGAATTGAGGATTACGCTTCGACAACAGGCACCCGATCCGCCACCCCCTCATTTTGAAGTCTTCAACTTCCAATTTTGAATCGCTAAGACGACCCGGTACCGCAGTCCCAAGCTACTTCATCCTCTCATCCAGTCGTGCCATATGAATACACATGTGCTCGACGTAAAAAAATCGGAAATTCGGTGAATTAACGGATGCTCGGTAAGAGACTGCAAAGGTCACCGTTCATTTTGCAGCAGAGCATTATAAACGTTCACTGTGCAAACCGGCACAGTGGACGGTCGTAGGGTGGTGATAAGCGGGTACACTGCAGAGGGCATGCGTTGATATGACTGTGAGCGCGTCGGTCACCTTCGGAGTTCCAATTTCAAACAGCGACGAGGCCTGGCCTTGGCACGGCGAGCGAATACCCTTGTGGAGTTGGAATGATTCCTGATGATAAGGCAGCTGTTGCGCTTGCTTTTCGGCGGGTCCAAGGGGTACTGTGCCGCCTAACGATGACGGTACTGCTTCGCCGAGACCTGAGAAGCAGGAGGGCCTGAGCTCAACAAAGTTGGAATTTGGAATGCTGGTGTCGTCACAGGAAAATGAAGTTTAAGCGACGGATGTGGTTACGGAATATAATAAAAGCGTTATGAAGGAGCGGGAACATCCGTGGACGGGACATGACGAGGGAGAAGCCAATGCATAGAGGATGCCCCTCTGGTCTATGCATCGCTTTCGTTAACCCAATGAGCGTATCGATATGGCGGCTTCGTACACTCTCAATTTCAGGGTAAAGATTGCACCTCGCGGCGCGGCTCGAGGTCTCTACCGCCACCCCCCTGGACGCGGTGTTGTCCTATGGGTAAAATAACGCCTTCGTAATGATGATCAAGAATCATTCGTGAGCGCTCCAATAAAGGCATCAAGGTTGCCCACCAGAGGTACTGGAAGCAGTCACATAAGGCTCTGCGAATCCGTCACCGAAGGCAAGGCTGGGAAAGACTGAAAGTACCTTTGCTTCCTCCAGCTGATCAAATCGTGGAGTGAAATTCGTGCCGTCGCCGCATCCATCAAGCTGATGCTATCATCGCCGGTTAGCAAGTGCAGGACAGATCGGTTAATCTCTGATATGCGACCCACGGCAGAAGCTTGGAATTTTTTAAGACGATGTCATGAACAAAAACTAGGGGAAGTTGATCTTTTTAAAACGTCGTGCAAAGTGCGGCTGCGCTCGAGGCCAGGAACCGCCGGCAACGTTCGCCTCGAGAGAAAGCGAATCGATTTGTGTGGCTTCTGCAGCTGGAAACACGATGTCTAGGGATCAACGAGTTCGCGTATGATGTCGAATTACGGCTAGCCGTCCAGGAGCTTGTGCAGAGGCCATCCGCCGTGGGATGCGGGAAGGCGAATGAGACCGGCGGCAGTGAAGTAGGGATCAAAGGGACGACTGGCGATCTTGCGGGTGAGAGCGGCGCGCGCGGGAGAACCTTGCCGAGAAGAACGCGTGCCCGCTATCCTCGCCAATGTTTCTTTTCGAGGTCCTGGATCATGAATCCGGAGTCCGTCCATTAGAGTAGGGACCACAGGGGACACTACCTGATTCGTTGTGGAAACGCGGTAGGTATCCCACATAACACGCTCAAGAAATGAGGATGACGCTCTACTATCTGGTCAGGAGAGATCGCAGAGAATCAATGGAGGTGCTTACTAGGCTTGTGTCCATACATCACAGAAATGGAGGAGAAACAGCCAGCATCACAGGTCGATTTCTGGGATCCAGCTTTCTTAGAACCAGTATAACGAAGGCCAGTAGTGTTCGCATGTTGCGTTCAGACGGAAGTGCGGCTTCTGAGGCGAGGGAATACAATTAAGATAAATTACAAGCGGCCAAAATGGGGAACCTACGACGCGATGTTCTATTTGATTCATATTCGCATTTTACTTGCCGACGAGACTGGGCCAGATTGTTCAACAGGGGGACTAGTAGCAAGAAATAGCAGCTGAGACGTCCCTAAGGCGTCTAATCAGAGTTTTTGAACGGTACGAGTCGGTTGGCTATTATATAGATCACTATCATTTGCGGCGCAATTTTTCGCCTACAGTAATGATTCTTGGATTGTGAATGACTGTGAACCTGGAATTCAATATGAAGGCAAGAAAGACAGAAAGACGTAAGTTGCCTGAGAGGTTGGGAAACGCCTTCAGTATTTTCGAGATATGAACCCTTATAGTGGTGGTCAAAAGCAGTCGCTGATTACTTCGACTAAAATGGAAAGGGTGTCATCTGTTCCCACGCCACAGACGCGTTCCTCACCTCTGCATCGTTTTCTGCTGAGACGCATCCTCAGACATCTAATACCAAATTATCTCAGTGTTCCGAATTGTGCATTCCTTCCTTGTCTCCGTCTGAGGACAGGTTTCACGAGTAAGTAGTAGATGCAGCAGATATAAATTCATTAGTAGGGTTGCGCATGAAACCCTAGGTTTCCCTCACTGGAGGGTTTTTCGAGGGGTTTTGAGGCAACTTAGCTATCGTGTGACTACTTTGACTGAACTAAAGCATTATCACGAGCATTAGCGTTGCGCACCATTCATGCGATACTAGGTACGCACGATGGAGAAAAATGCTGTGTGAAAACGTAACCCTTAGGGTGCATCAAAACGACAGCAACGTGCATGGACATTGGACAATGGAGGCTTTGTCCGTCTTGCAGCGCGCGCACTTAAAATTACCCATGAGGCAACCATAAGCTCTTAGCTCTAATGAATCATGATTTATCCCATTGATGTTTCTTCATCCAAAAACAGCAGTTGATAAACTTGTCAACTGCCCCAGAGAGGCTCGAACTCTCGACCTTCCGATAATGTAACGCATAAGTCTAACAGTCGGACGCTGTAACCAACTCAGCCATGGGGCATACGATACAGGTGTCCTTATACCCTACTTGATGTTATTTATTCTGGATTGCTCTACACAAGTACTGAGATCGTCTTCGATTCGCACTCAAAACAAGACAACTAAAATTTTCACAGCAATTGCTCCCTAGACCAACCCTGGATCTGAAATGCGCATTGCCGACCTTCAGGAGTCAGGCCTCAACTCAATGAGCAAGTCTGCAGTTGATGCTTGCTCATTGAGTCGAAGGTCGGCGTTTCACATCTAAGATGCAGTAGATGAAGTAAATAAAAGGTATAGGGTATATATCTTTTCAATTGACCGTGCATTTCGAGAACTGTAATTGACTTTCAGCAATGTGATACACACTTGACAAAAAAAAAGAGCGACATACAAAACAAGCCCAAACGCTCAACAAGGACTTACAAAGTCTGTATGAACCCGATAATCCGTCAAGAGGAGATACTTACTAGCAGTGGAATAACAAAAGCCGACTCGATGTTGCGGAGTCTGCATGGATTTTCTCGCTGTACCTGTCAATAGCTCTAAAACGAAAGAGGCGATGAGAAAGGAAGGAAGGACAAATTGACAACCCGGGCGCAAGCACTAGCGGAATTGGTATGGGGATCAGGACTATACCGACTGAGATGGTAGATCGTGGAGCAAAGAATACCGACTGGAACGACAGCCCGTTCATCTTCGTCGGCGCAAAGCTAGACTTTTGTAAAATCTGTATGGACTTTGTCTGCAGCATGCATATATCAACGGCGCTTGCGTGTGTGACAGACGCAGTTGGAGAGAAGGGCGTACGGGTTAATGGTGCGTTTCTGATTTCGTGTGCAACTTGTGTCGATAGTGGTCGATATTTACCGGTGTGCGAGGGAATAAATTACATGGTGCCAACACAGACTGCATGAGGGATCTGCTATATTTCTGTGAGCGAAGAGGAATACATAGAACGGAATGGACGGATCACAGTGATTCCACCCTCACCGATGCTGAGTACAAGTGTAAGTATACTGAGGTTCGGTGACATCCAAACTCAACGACCCGGCATAATAGCATTTCCCAGTTCCTGTGACGACCGACATTCTACACGGTCATCCAAGACTGGCCTTGAAAGCAGACGACGGAGAACAGACGATTGAAAATATGAAGTGAGTACTATGCTCTCCGGTTTTCAAACGTCACGTAGAGCGAATGAAAAAGTGTTTGACGTATCATCGTCGCAATGCCCTCCAATAACTATTGTCCACCGCCGTTCAAGCAACCTGCTTGCTAGGCTCCGTGTTATGTCTATGCGAACCTGTGTATATCAATTATTGGCTTAGTATAAAACTCGAACGTACCTGGACCGCACGCAGATGGCCGATATGAATCGCCGCGGACCCGGACGAAGAAGATGTATATCATGGTGTAGCTCGTCGATTCTGACATAATTAGGCGTCGGACAATCCACAGCAAATAGATTTACTCTGAGGGAGCCAAACTCCAGTGTACGCTTCCGGGTTCCCCTCAGACAGGAAAATCGTTTGGATTCTGTGATAACTTTTGGACTTGTTTCGGAAGAGAAAACATGCACCAAGTAGTTCAACGTGGGTATTCAACTAACATGTGCCTTATCCGTATGAGTCTCCACACATTCTCTAATCGTTCGTGTATAAAACGGTATTCATTTGTGCTTGTAGACCGAAAACGCCCAGGTCTCGGTTGTTAATCCGTTGAGATTTGGGGAATTGAGCAAGGACCATTGCCACGACTTGCCGCAGATCTAGAAAGATTTAGTCTCCAAAGCGCGCGTAGAACGTGTAAACGGGCGCGCTAGAGAAGAGGGTCGCGAAATCATGGTGTTAAAGGAAGGAGTTCGGGCCGAAGAGTGACTGGCGTGTCTTACGTCATTGTTGTTCTTTGCCTTCGTCCTTTTGCCATTCACATTCTTCGTACATTCAGCTGGTCTCACGCTTCTGAAATACAGTGCATTGGGAAGCGGCGTCTATCTCTGGGAATGTTCCCCCAACGGCTAGCCTGTACTCAACGATGGCTCTCGCCAATTCGACCGTTGTCTGAGTCACTGAGCTGCAAATGAAGGACGGGCGTGTTTAGAGCATCCTTTCTGCACAGAGACTCTTTCGTAGTCCAATTTCTATGGTGAATATGCTTACATACTGCTACCAGTGCCGCACTGATTAGTTACCAGATATCAGCGGACTTGGTCCTCGCTACAGCCAGCGCAGCGGCCAATGACTGGACAACGACTTTGAGATGTTATTACGCACCGTAAAACACCGTCTGCATGGCTTACGGGTCTGTCAATGCGCGACGATTACGGAAGGGAGCATTAAGGAAAGGTATCGGTGCGTTCATTTTTCTCCGCTGTGTCTATTTTCATTCAGCTCTGTATTATCTAGACGTCTCGTACTGTCCTGCACTATAGCCGATTCAGCATATCCATCTCAGCTCGTTCGCATCAAACCATCGCACAATACCCTTTTTGTACGTTCGTTGGATCCTGATTTACGGAGATGCCGTCTTCCATGTCTGATCCGAGGCTTATTTGTGGGCGACTGTGCGGCTCTTGGATGCCAGGATACCAAAGAAATAGAGGGCAAGCCTTGTTTATCATGTTCCAGCTCGATGATAATGTTCTGAGGTCATCATACTTTAGAAAGTTGTCTTCGAAGGCCTTTATTTCTGACTATTCAATGTGTTGGATATACGTGGAATTACGGTGCGTACTCATTCGGATCAGCAAATTCAACAATCTCATCTGGCCCTAAGATATTCGATCGAAGCCCGTTCTATGACGATGTTCGGAATGTCCCACAGGTCGGAGCGTGGCTGGCGGGGATTTTACCTCTGGCCAACGATGTGCTGCAATGTCCCCCCAGATTTATCCAAGAGCAATAATCACACGTTCTCGATTTCTGTCGTCATAACACTGATATATCTCGTACCGCGGTCCAAAGTGCGCATATACAAACCTCGGGGTTCTCGTTCTCAGCCATTGACTAATCTCCTGCAGCGGGCGCTCTTCCTCCTGCTCTAACATATCCGACGGCTCCTCACTATTCGGAGTCGGCGTAGGTGGCGGGGTGCTGACGCACTGGCACCCGTCTAATCGAAGAACGTTACTCTTATCGCTCCCGAACAAGCTCGAGCAGCTTTTGAGAGATAGAAGGCGGTCGGAATCGGGTTTGGCAGGTGCAACGGAGGATTCTCTGTGGTTCATGATCGTATATTCTCACTATCCATATTCAACGAAGAAAAGCAATGTTGTTTACAAGGATAGACAGATATGTGCTACTCTACGATGATTCGAAAACTACCACGGGGATTTTTCGGGCCAGGAGAATTTTGCGAGCGATGCTTGCGAGCTTGCGTTCATTTGCGTTTTACGTGTGATTACTTGCGTTCCTATCAATGTGTTTATGATCTCATCAATGCATGTTATTACTTATGAATGCGAGCCAAATTTACCGACCAGACTACTTCAAAAATTCCTCAATCCTTATGAGGTTTAAACACTGTTCCGGATAGATAATAACACCAAGTACATAGTTTAAGACTTGATAGACAGTAAATTACCTACCTGCGAGGTCCCCAGGGATGGTCCAGTGGTCTGTTGACAGCATACTACCATCACAATATCAGTGAATGTCCGAACGCAAGTCTAATCATATGAACACACGCGCCGATCAAGCTAAGGCAAGCGTTTTAATCACGAACGCAAGCGTTCTAACATTGCTCGCAAGTGTGACATGTTTGTCACATTTGCTTTACCTCCAGTTTACATCTAAGTAATTGTATCGTCGCTGGTTTCTTCACTTGTTGTGGTCTTCTCTCCATGATCTGTGTCTGTATTTTGCTGTGGTATTACTAAATACTAGCATATACACTTGAGTTCTCTGAACACGAGAATTTGGCAATTCTATAGGGCCTAAGCATACTACTGATATGTTCTATCATCTACGAGTGGCAATTACCCTGCCTAAATCTGCGAATTAACAGCTGAGGTCGGCCTAGTATGCTAGAGGAATGGTAGCAGAACACAAAGAAAGATACAGCAGCGCGATGTATGATGACACATACGTAGGATTTCGCTGATTTTCATATATCTTCCCCTAGTCGTTCGTGTATAATGATGGGGTTTATCTACACGTGTAGCCCGGAAATGCCATTGGTATGATCCAGATCATGATTTTCTGGTTTCGAGACTTGGGAGCGTGAGCAGGGACCGTTGTCATGACTTGGGGTGGATTCAAAGAGAATTCATCCACAAAAACGCGTGCAGAACACGTAAACGGGCACGACAGAGAACAGAGTCGGAAAGCCATGGCGTGGTGGCATTGAGTGAAGGCGTTCGGGCCGAAGAGTGACTGGCGTGACTTACGTCGTCATTGCTCTTTGCCTTCCTGTTTGTCAATAGCCATTCACACCTTCAATGGGCCTCACGGTTCCCAAATCCTATGCGACGTCTATTGCATCTCATTTGGCACTGTTATTGCTCCTCCACTTCCAGTACTCAACTTTGACCCTTGTCCAAGTCGCCGAGCTGCAAAAGAAGGACGGCCGTGTTTGGACGATCCAAAGACACTTTCTTAATCCAATTTCTATGTGATTATGCCCAAATACTGCTAGTAGGGCCGTGCTGATTAGTTCCCAGACACTTGTTAATATCGGCTCACTTGGTCTTCGCTACAGCCAGCGTCCCGGCCAATGATTGGACAGTGACTTTGAGCCGCCGTAAACGCTCTCGATATGACCTTGGGGTCTTTCATGCGCTACAATAATCGTAGGGATCATTAAGGGAGGGTATCGGTGCGTTCATTTTTCTCCGCTGTGTCTATTTCCGCTCAGCTCTGTGTTCTCTAGGCGTTCTTATAATGGTGCCAGCACATTCTGATCCTGGAATATCTTAGGCCTACCAGACATAAACAGCCGGCTGCGTCTGTCATCCCTGGCGGTTTGTCGTACGACAGCTTGCGAAAGGATTCTCCCATGATATTCCACCTCCCCTCTCGC